GTCAGACGGGATTAGAAAAAAAAAACGAGCAAAGGATGAGGTTTTTTGGCACGGCTTACACACTGCACTGTGAAGCTCCCAGCCATAAAGACTTGAAGGTGGTGCAGCACCTGTGCCTTCTTGGCCCGGGCGCCACATGAGCAAGGAGGTCAAGGCCAGGGCAACATCTGCATCGCATCAGAGGGTCTGGCTGTGGGCCCGCACCATGAAAGCCTCTCACGGAGGAATCCTAAAGAACAGATTTGAGAAGATTTTCCATGCATGTGCACCACTTTTGTTTTAACGTCGCAACCATTCAACTAATACTGCGGGATCCTTTACGCAGTCTTCCGCCATGAGTCCACCTGAGTCACGCAGAGTGGAAAATAACAAGCACTAAAACAAGATACGAGCCACCAGCATGCCGCCGAGCAAATCATTATGCATCATTAGGTGAAGGTTTAGTTTAAACGTGTTTAGCAGGAATTAAGCAAAGCTGCTGTTGACATGGATTGACTGCTGTAATGCGTTATTGTCAGCGCTCCAGGAGGTAGAGAGGCCCAGCCCGGTTGGTTGGTTGGAGGGGGAAACAGGCAGGAAAGGCGCCGAGAGCAAGGATTTATGGGATATTTGGAGGGATGTACAGAAAAAAAGAGTGGACAAACAGGAAATCTGGGTTGATGGTTTGTTTGTCGGAGGAGACAAAGAGGCTGGGAAGTGAGAAGAGGCGTCGTCATTAGATTACAGTCACACACAGCTTACTCCACCATCACTGGGATCTCTTATGATAGATGCAGTTTAAAGAATCAAGATGAATAAAAATACTGAACTATTGGTTATGAATGAAGCTTACAGTTTCACTGACACTGATGATAACTGAACAAAAACAGCACGTTCCTCTTGATTTTATAGTAGTTGAGTGAATGTGTGAACGTAAGCTTTGGATATGTGTGTTGGGGTGGATGTTTTAACACACGCACACACACATATATATATATATTTTATTTTACATCAATGTGTATATGTGTTTGAATTGATGTATTTATGTGTATGTGTTTGTAATTGTATGTATTTATGAATATATGTATGTGAGCTGTATAGGAAGATCCAACCAGAGACTGGTGTTGTGAATTAGCTTTATACTCTGTGCAACACATCAGCTGCAGACACTGCTCTGTTGCTATGTTTGTCTGCATTGTCCTTGTTAAAGAAATTGATAAATTAAAAACAAATAAAAAGGTAAATAAATTTTGAGTATTGGCTTTCTCTGCCTCTGATTGTTCTTTTAAATAGAATTTAAGGTCTAACATTTCTTGAAATAATGCATAGTGCTCGCTGCTTTTCAGGACAGTTTTAGACAGAAATTTTAAGATAAAAATGACAGTTAAATTCTTTATGTGGTGTCTCATTGAATATCGCAAATTAAGTAACATAAATGAATCAGTTACATCAAATTTTAGGTCAACATTTGTAACGCTGATGAAGTTATAGGTTTTTTTGTGTTCACTAAGATGAGTTGCCGGATGAGGCCATGTTAAACTGAGATCCCTCCGATAATTAGTCTTAAAGTTTTTAAAGTTTTAAATGTATAGCCAATAAATATTTCCTGAAAGTTTCATTAGAATCATGATGTTTGTAAACAGATRACAGCAAAATGAGGTCATGAATTTCCTAAAAGATGAATATATATGATGCATGTGGGACATTTAACAGAAGTCAACATTCAAAGTAAAGATCATTATTTGATTAAATTTCTCTTGGCTGCTTCCAAGAAGGCCAACACACGAAAACGGTATGAGTGGATCCCCCTTCCCTACACAACTAGATTGACATAACAAAAGAAAACCATAATTTGGAGAGACTCACATAGACTGTAAGACTAAAACCAAAATGTGAAAATCTGTGGAGAAAATGGACACTAATGAAATATAAGGAAACAAGGAAAGCTAAACAATTGAACACTATAGCAGAATTGGATGTCACCTGTCCCTATTTTATATATCCTGTTTTATTTTGAAAAGTGTGCAAAAAATAAACAAAAAAATGGGTTAAAATATTAACCTGTCATTCATGAGATATATCACTAACAGAGCAGTCGAATAGTTGAAGGCAAATTTTTAAACAAAGATTTCACACAACTTGTTAGAGTTTAGAATAAAAAAATTGTATAGGTCTTCTGGACGGGTTCTTCTCTAATGAAACGTTTCGTCTCTCCTCAAAGAGACTTCTTCAGTCTGAGAGTTTCAGGCAAAATTCAGGCTTTCAAGCACTGCCTCCATGTGACTGATATATCACATGGCTATTGTTGACACCTAATTAACACCTATTGTTAACAGGGGTGGAGTGATACTAGCAATAGCAGCACTGTAGGAGGGGAACAACTGAAAACAGAGGCCTCCACCTCTGTTTAATGATGGACGGTCTTTCTTCACAAAAATGGCTTCTTTTACTCCTCTCTCAAACCAACGTTCCTGCTGGAAGAATGATGATGTTCTTGTCCTTGCTGAGGGTAGTGAGAGCGTCTCTCTCTTCTCTGCTGATATTAGAAGGTGGTGGTTTGGCGTTGCTGAGGCAGGCTGAAACTTTGTTCCATTGTTTCACCACAAAGTCACCACTTTCTAATGCGGTACTCCTTTGCACCTAAGGAGCAGCACAAGTAAAA